TGGAATCAAGTCTAGCCATTAAATTGAAATTTTAGTATTCTGAGAAAATATCCAAAAGGCACAAGTTTGGTATGTCCACAGTGCATGCAAAGTTTCAGAAAGGAAATAATGAACGGTTTTCAGGTTCCTGCTCGGAAACGGAAATGAATTACAGACGGACGGACAGGACAGACAGACAGACTGACGAAGACAAGGTATTACATGCTGGTGGGATATTACATATTTTTCACTGAATAAATGATCATCAAAATCGTTTATACATTCCCTGAATCAAAGATGTATCATCAGAAGTAGGGCTAGACTAAACTAAGACACCAACGGTATCATAATGATAATCACTGATGACTGCAACATATTACACAAGACAAGAAACTTGTACTCTCACTGTATGTATATGCAACTATTCAATAAAAAACATATCTTCGGACTTAGTTCCTTTTTAACACTTCACCTTTGAATTTGTGGTTTGACACACTGAGTGTAAAGACATTAATGCATGTTTTGGGAGAATTTCATCCATTTCCCGGCTATTTGTTCTCCACTATTTTTCCATTTATAAAATCACATTGAACACCCTTGACCTTAACTTCTGTTCCCACCAATCAGCATTGATAAGGACACATTTGTGATTTAAAGATTTCATTTTTTCCACCAAAAGTAAATATTTTATGTACGGTTGTCACTTTTTCTGTTTTGTTTGTTTTCTTGGGGTCTAGACAGTTGCCATTTTTGTAGGATTTTTTTCGCATGAGATATATGGACACTAAAAATCAATAAAAAATATGGTTTTTCTTTCTTAAAGGTTCATATGAGATAAAGCCATTTTAAAGTAATAAAATCACATGTTTGGAAAAATCATTGAGCATAGCTAGGCAGTGTATGGTATGTGATTTATGTCTTCTTCAAAGGTTATTACAGTGTGTGCATAGTCCATCTGCATGTCTATTTTTGTTTGTAAAGTGTATGGTTGAGGTTTGTGATGCCTGTGATAAGTCTGTTTATAGGCCGTGCCAATATTTTTTTAATGTTTGAGAATGTAGGATTTTCCTTAAGGGTGATTTTATTATGGAAGTAACCCATGTTGATTTGTTGTTGTTTATGTTGTGTTGAAAGTCAGTATGTAGTATATTTGATTTAATGAGTTGTTTAGTTTCTGTTTTGGATGTATGAAAGTTTATATTTGGTGATTTTTGTGTGTTGTGGCTGTTTTGTATCTGCTGTGTCGTTTCCTATAAGTATGTTTGAATGGCCTGGAGTGTCCATTATGTATTTGAATGGCGTGGTATCCAGGTGAATGGCCTGGTATATCCAGGTAAAATATGAGAATATAGGTGAATGGGCCTGGTCAAATGCCAGGTGAAAGTTATGTTTTTATTTGCTCGTTTAAGGTGAGTCTGTTTGGATTGTAGTACAAATTATGAATGAGATCAGGGTGAGATTTGGATGGACTTGTTATGTATTTGTTTTATCTAACGGAGTTTAGTAGAGTCGGAGAGAATTAGGAAATTAGTTTGTGGGCTTAGTATTGGGAGGTAGGTGGCCTCAGACCATAGTTACCCCCTTAACTTTACCAGAGTGGAAGTACTATGAGAATATAGTGCCTTGTTTAAATGGGCTGTTCTGTTTGTGCTAATGTTTTCAGGGTTTGACTTGTGATAGCTTAAATGAAAGGTAAGACATTGTACTTTATTGCAAAATTCTTTTTGGTCCACAATCTACTCATGGTATTGACACCAGCCTTCCTTGATTTGACCCCAAGTTCAAGGCTGTCTAGAGTGTCATTTCGGCTCGTAACTTCCGGTGACCATTGTTTACAGTGGATACAGCAAAATTGACATGGTCGATCCAGGCTCATATTTTTTCCGATTAAATGACAAGTGGCAGGTTGGTCAGCATGCAACAGGAGAACATTACCTACGACCGATATTAATTATGGTGCACTGGCATGTCACTGTAGATAGCAAAGAAGGGAAAATAGTGTGGTCTGAGGCCTGATATGGTGAAGGTAGTGCAAGTGTTTAATTTGCTATATGTCTCTTTATTTTTCAAAATATTCACTTGAAACTTTGCATATTTACTGACAGGAACATTTGAAATATGTATACATTTGTTTTCAACTGACAATATTTTTTTTTACATTTTTATGAATTTATTTCAATTTCTGATTGCATATTATTTTAGTGTGGTGAGCGGACGCATCATAATTAGTCAGATTGGTTCCATTATGGTGAATGTATGTATCACTACGCTGCACGTGCCTTTTAGATGCATGTGATACCTAAAATGGCTAATATTCAAGCCTTTTCAAAAGATATAGAGCCAAGTTTGTGAATAATTCAGTCCTCAGTGAGGAAATGGCATATGTCATATGTGGACTGGAGGCCAACACAGTGGGTATGGGGTATTGAGGTATTTTTGCCCCATAGCCTACCAGTGGCGTACTACTCATGCTCACAGGCTGAGTTTCATAGTACACACGGAAAACTTCGACATAGAGTGATTACGACATCAGCCATTTGTGCCACAACAGTAAATGCACCTATGTCGAACACCTGTCTGCTGAGCGACACAGCATAAATGCAGACAGAGTGGCCTGTGTAAACAGGGGTGTGTGTGTGTAAAGGCCATGCACCTTTCCCAGATTGCCTTTTGGCATTGAAGTTATAGGAGAACAGAAAAACAAAGGCAAAAGCATATGAAAAATACTATATCATATAATATAGTAAAATTGTATTCATATTTCCTGATTTTCACCACAGTCACAGTTGGTTTGTGACATGGCACCTATTCACAACACATAGCTTTAGAGACATTATGATGTATTTAAACTTAAAAGTTACACAGTATCTGTCTTTAGCAAGTAATAAGTATATACAGTTCTGCAGCATCACTGCACATTTTCAATATTTTGAATAAGAATGTTCATGTTTTTAGCTGAAACACGGTACAGGGTCTAACTGTCCCTTTCTGTAGTCCCCACTCTGCTTGTCAGTCTGTTTAGACTTCAAATGTTCACAGATCTTGCTTACATGCTGTGTAAGTTTCCTTTTCACAACACTGGGGCTTTTCTGACAGTCTTTGTGATAGGTAGCCTCCTTGTCCATTTGTTCAAGTGACCGCACAGCTCGGCTTGAAAGTTTCACCCCAGAATGGTCGCACTTGTCGATTGCTGATGTCCCAGTGCCATTGTTGAGCCTGTTTAGTGTGGAAGAAGCCCTCCCAATCATGATTCCTTGAAAAGTTTACATTCTTTGGCAAAGAAATACTCAGTGATCGATTGGCAGCTTCACATTTCTGTGTGTCTGTGTACAGTTTCATTTGTTCCACTACTTCTACACTTAACTTCATTTTGAGAATTTCATTAAGCAAGTGTTTATCATTGTCATTTCATATTGAAATGAGTGGTACTGTTGCAGCCGAGGAACATGGAGCGCTGCCACCAGCTGTTTGTTACACCTCCTCGACACACAGCTGAGTACCGGGCACATCTGGAGCAGTCGCCGCTGTAGCACTTGAGGGGTTGCTTCGAAGCACTCTTGGTAAGATACTCACGAAGTGTTTTCATGTCACCTGCAGGATCTTTTCATGAGTTCTTTTAGTATCAGGCTGCACCGTGCTTTGACATCCTGGCTTAGCACCTTCTATTCTTCCATTTTATGTGTACAAGTAGTGCCGGGGAACAATATTATCTGGGTTAAAATCAGCTCTGTAAGTAGTAGATACAATAGCGGTCCGAGACCAAGTCCAACAAAAGCCTCTGTAAATCTTTATTTCACAAATAAAGCTTTTGTCAGGCCCTTAGATCTCACCCACCATTGTGGGAACTGTCCTTGAGCCAAGTGGGTGGGGTCAGCTAGCCTTTGCACCTTCCACATTGGGTCCAACACTTTCAGAGCTTTGTCTACTCCATCTGCAGACTTGGAATCCCCATCGGTTGTGGCATACTTTATGAGTACACCCTGTGGTGCGAGCTGATTACCAATGTTCTCTCCCATTTTGAACTCAGAGAATGGAGTGAAGGCCGACATGTTAGCAGTACAGTCTGGGTGCCCCCGGGACATTTCACATCCATGCCTTTTCCTTTCAGCCAGGCACCAATCCAGCGAGCTTATTCTGGAATGACGCACCGATGATGAACTTCTTGTCAGTAACAGTTTTGAGGCGATGCGATTGCTTGTGATGCATTCTGCCCTGGCTTCTTCCTGCTTGCTATTGTTGTCGAGTTGTATCGGCCATCCATAGCAATGTTCATCTCACATGGCTCAGTACCCTCTTCGATTAACTTCCTTCACTAACTCCACCTTTTCTGCCATATCCTTAGTGTTAAGTTCAGTTTCAGCCTTAGCCACCTTGTTGGAGGTCCTCTGCATACTGCTCCTGCATGGGGGTGGAATGTCCATGTTGGCCATCAGTAACCTCGCTCTCGTATTTCCTGTAGGTGTGTCCTGTAGACCCAAGGCAAGTCCGACGTTGGGTGTTGCTGGGTTTGGCCCAGGTTTACCCGTCTCGATTTCTTTGTATAACTTCATTTCAGGTGCTACAAAGTCACATGTGACACATTTCAGTGTTATTTTCCAGCAAGCTCCCCATTTTTCTCTCCTTGGCTATCTGCAGCTGAGGGTCGTCACAGTCACTGGATGTTGACCGATGCAGTCGCAGAGCTGTGTTCCATGCTTCGCCACCTTTTCATTGTCGACTAGTCGCATACCCTCCAAGTCATCTTTGCTTGACTCTTGTTTCAGGTCATGCTTGCTGGTTGAAGTGGGGACGCAGCAGCCTCACTGAAGTAGAGATGCCATCACAATCAGGTGTTGACGACAGCCCAGTTCCATCCAGCCTTGACTTGGTGACCAGGGAGAAGTCTTCTGGACTCAACCTAGTGACTGTCCTGGGTATCTGGGGTGGAGAGGCACTTTCAGACTCTTCCGATTCAAGGGTGAGACCTTTGTTCCAGGGAGTATGGCCTTTGCTGAACTGTGACTTGATTCTCTTGCGGTCGCCTTTCATCGTGATTGTGTCGAACAGAACTAATGAGCTCTGAGCACAACATGTACCCTGTATACCCCATCTCTGTGTGTTGTCACTGGCACTGACAAGCAGGTGTATGTATTAGAAAATGTGTTGGAAACTCAAGACATACACGTCTTGTGCCACTGGTGTAAATCGCAGTTGAGCCATACACACCTACTGACACTTTGTCGGGTATTGGTCAGGTGTCAGGTGAGAGTGGTCACGCTTGGTGACTAGCTGCACTCGATTGGCTGTACACAGCTGCTTGAGCAGCCAATCAATTTAACGAGGAAAGATAGGGTTTTCTAATGAATAAAAATTTAACAGTTTCAATTTTCATTTTTGTTGAAAAATATGAACTTTAATGGAATTATTTTAGTATAAAATGCATGTATGTATATAAAAATAGAAAAAAAAAATGAAAAAATGCTTTAATGGACTGAAACCAGTGTCCTTTGATAGCACATGCAATAACAAAAGAGGAACACTTGATGTTTTGTCAATTTCCACCTGGTTATGGAGTTATAGACAAATTAGAATTGTGTTTCATGCCCAAAATTAACACTCAAATGCCAGAGATACAGCATAGTGTAAAAGGAGTATAAGTCAAGTTGTGTATGAGTTAGGGCTTTCAAATTTTCTGTGAGCCTTACATAGTGTCTGGGCTTAGTATTGATGAAGTTTTATTAAATTTGCAGACGTTTTGGTGTCCTGATAGGCCTCAGACCATAGTTACCCCCCTTAACTTTTACCATGACCCGGAAGTAAAATATGAGAATATAGTGCCTTGTTTAAATGGGCTGTTCTGTTTGTGCTAATGTTTTCAGGGTGACTTGTGATAGCTTAAATGAAAGGTAAGACATTGTACTTTATTGCAAAAATCTTTTGGTCCTCAATCTACTCATGGTATTGACACCAGCCTTCCTTGATTTGACCCCAAGTTCAAGGCTGTCTAGAGTGTTTCGGCTCGTAACTTCCGGTGACCATTGTTTACAGTGGATACAGCAACATTGACATGGTCGATCCAGACTCATATTTTTCCGATTAAGTGACAAGTGGCAGGTTGGTCAGCATGCAACAGGAGAACAGCCTACGACCGATATTAATTATGGTGCACTGGCATGTCACTGTAGATAGCAAAGAAGGAAAATAATTATGGTCTGAGGCCAGGTATTAGGTGCAGTGCAGTGAGGATAGCTGTTAGTTCTGCTGTATGTATTGAGGTGTGGTTTGTATAGTGCAGGTTGGTTGTAATGGGGGGTTTTGTTGGACATGTATGTCTATACCAGTTGTTTTGTTTGGGTTGATTGAAGTGTCTGTATATATATATGGGTGTGTGTAGGGTAGTTATTGTTAATATAGTTGTTTGTGATGTTTGTTATGGTGGGTTTGTTGGTGTTTTTTGGTAACTGCTGGAGAATGTTGTCTAGGGTGGTGTCTGTGGTGGGTGGGGGTATGTCGAGAATGTAGCTTGTAATGGGAGGTGTATGTTGTATGTCGTTTAGCTGTTGTGACTGTAGTAGTTTATGGAGGTGGGTGAGGCATGGAGCTCTTAAGGGATTTAATTTGAATTTCTTAAGTGTTGATTTCTTTATATTGCTGTATTTATGTGTGACGAGTTTAAATAGTGGGTTATGTTGATTCTTTGTGTGAATGAGAGTAGAAGTAATGTGTTTATGGAGGTACCAGTCCTCGTGCCTAGGGCTAATCTTAGGGCTTTATATTGGATGGAGTTTATTTTTGAAAGTTACAGGGGGAGAGGGCGTGGAGAATCGGGGCGGCATAGGCAGTATAAGCGTTTTGTATATGTTAATAAGTGTGTGTTTGTCCGCGCCCCAGTTTGTGCCGCTAATGGCTCTCATTAAGTTGAGATCTTTTTGACAAGAATTGACCAGGTTATGAATGTGGGGTGTCCATGTCATATGTTGGTCGAAAGTTACTCCTAAGAATTTGGTTCCTTTTTTAATTCAATTTTTTGGTCATTTAGGTGCAGTTTGGGTGTATAATTTTGCATTCGTTGAGTTTTGAAGAGTATGACCACGGTTTTTTTGACATTTATGAGGAACCCCCACTGTTGGGCCCAATTTTGAATATGGTTTAGCATTTTTGGCATTTTGTAGAAACTTGTTTGACAGAAGTGGAGGAAGTCCAGAAAGAAATATCGTCGGCAAATTTGGCTTTGGAAATTTCAGGCCATTTATCTGGGAATATGTCGTTGATCATGAAGTTGAAAAGTGTTGGTGATAATATGCTGCCCTGGGTGTCCTATTTTCTAGGGGATGGGGGTCCAAAAGGGTGTTGTGATATTTGAGGATTATCTGTCTATTATTAAGGAAAGAGTGGATGAAATTTAGAATTCTGCCGTGAATGCCGTGAGTTTTTGTATGAGGCCGTTGTGCCAAACCATATCAAATGCTTTACTGAAGTCAATGAAAATGGCCATAGTGTATTGTTTTTGTGCATGGGCTACCTTGATGTCTTGTTCCAAATGTAAAATATGGTCTAAAGTTTGCCTGTTTGGAGTAAAGCCGCTCTGGTCCTCCTTAATTAGATTTTTTTGTATATATAAGGTGTTTGAGCCTGTTGTAAATAATGCTTTCTAGAGTTTTACATAGATGAGAGGTGAGGGAGATAGGGCGATAAGAAGCAGGCTCATTTCTAGGTTTCCCTAGTTTGAGAACTGTCTGTTTTCCATGTATTTGGGATAGTACCTGTGGTCCAGATATGATTAAAGAGGGTAAGTGTATTGACTTTAGTAGTTTATGGAGGTGGGTGAGGCATGTTAGGTGTTAATTTGTTGAGTATAGTGTATGTAATGGTATCTGGACCTGGGGCTGAGGCTGTCTGTTTGTTTCTGAGTGCAGACTGAAGTTCGTGTATATTTATTACTTTGTTTATAGGTAGATCTGTGTTTGGTGGTTGTGGGGTGTAGGGGGGGGATGCTTATTCATGGTATTTTGGAAAGAAGGTGTGTAGTTGGTGGAGCTACTGACGGCCGAGAGGTGGGCAGCAAATGCATTAGCTCTGTCTTTATTTGTGGCTAGGTCCGGGAGGTTTGGATAAATAGGTTTTTAAAATGCCCTTAATGGCTTTAAAATTTTTCCACATGGTTCTGGAGTTTCGACTTGTGAGCTTAAGGGTAGAACAAAATTGTTTCCAATGGTCATTTTTTTGCTGCCTGGATTAATTTCTTCGTTTTATTTCTTAGTTGTTTTGCCAAATGTAATTTCGAACGGCCCCTCTTGGATTGATTTAGGGCCCTTTTTCTTGCCTTTCTGGCTTTAATGATTTCTGTGCTCCACCAAGGGACTGTTTTTTTTGTGCAGGGTTGGAAAAAGTTGGAATGCACGCAACCCTCTCCGAGAATGGGGATCGATTTAGTGTCCTATCGTGCAAAAATTGGAACTTTCACTCAACCAAATAAATGCAACAGGTCCGTAAATGGTTTCCAACTCCTGGAAGAAACGTTTCAAGGACTATGCGTCTCCTGTTGCTGCTACTGACATTGCTGACCCGCGTGTGGCGATGTTGAAACTGACCGGGGCCGGGGCCCGACAAGTCAACCTCGAGTTACTCGACAAACAACATTGCTAGAAGGTGCAACCACCATGGAAAAGTTCACAAAATGAAGACCTCATGAGAGTATTAATGGAACTAAAAAGTGATTTAAGTGGTTTAAATGAACGCACCACGCAGCATAGCGATGAAAAAGCTAACAAGATGGCGATGCACGTGGAAAACGAGCTGGACAACTTGAAAACTGAAAACAGACGTTTACAACAACAGCTACAGGACATGGGTGACAAAACGAAGACATGGAATCACGTTCACGGCGGAATAATCTTGTGTTCCACGGCATTGATGGGGATGCCAATGAAACTTGGGACATTTCTGAAAAGAAGGTTAGAATTTTCATGAACGATACCCTAATGATAGAACATATCAACGAACTCATTATATCGAGGCGCACTGTATCTCACTGCGCAAGAAAGACTCACCAATTATTGTTCACTTTGTCGTGACAGCAGACAGAAATCATATAATTCGGACAGCACAGGAAAAGCTTAAGGACAACCAAAAGTTTAAAGTTTCTGAAGACCTTACGAAAAGAGTCCGAGAGGACCGCCGTGCACTATCCACTCTCTTTACCGAGGCCAGAAACCAGGGGAAAACACCAAGGATACGCCAAAACAAACTACTAGTTGATGGGAAAACATACATGTATGACCGTAAAAATGACAAAGTTGTATGTGTGAGTGACCTCTCCAAACAGGACAATCTGCATCCTCGATCAGCTGATCCAACGAGTTTGTTTACATCACAGCCAAGGGAGAGCACTCTAAGCCTTAGTCTCAATGAAAACATGTGATGTTCTGGCCAGGGCCTGTACAATTCCAACATTCTCAGCTGGAACGTCGGAGGACTAAATAAACATGTAAGATCTAGTTATTCTGATCTCAAGCAACTATGTGAACGATTTGAGATTATCGGATTATGTGAATCTTTCGGTCGTGACGCAAAAGACTTTTCCGATTATCTATGTGGCTACTATACTTAGAACAGTGTTCGCCCTGAACAGCATAAATCCGGCCGATACAGTGGCGGTGTGACTGTGTTTATCAAAGATGGTCTTGTGCAACATGGCAATTTGAATCGTATCTTTGGTGATTTCCAGGACTGTGTAGTTCTACAACTGAAAACCTCATATAGCACTATTGGGAAAGATCTAATTCTGATGTTTTTATATATATGTCCTCAAAACTCACCTATTTATGATACAATGGAGACTGATGGGTTTACTCGCCTTGGTCAATATCTTGAATCTATAAAAGACAGCTATCATGATACCTATATAATTCTTGCAGGCGATTTTTAATGCCAGAATGAGCGACTTTCTTTATTTTATCCCTAACGGTGATCTAACTCACAGCCAGGATGACTGTGTTGACTATCCAGAGGATGTATTTAATATTTATAGAAAAATAGAGATAAGTGTTATAACTCTTACGGTATCAAACTAGCAAATCTTTGTTGTACTTTTGGAATTCACTCACTTAATGGTAGATTATTCGAAGATGCTGATGGTAACTTTACATGTTCTACATATAACGGTACAAGCGTCGTCGATTATATCCTAGCATCTTCTGATTTATTTCAATATTTCACTGACTTTAAAATACTTGATAGAGATGACTCTTGTCATTTTCCTCTTCCTTGCACCTTGGAAATCTTTTGTAATGTTCAATGTCCAAGACACCGAAATAGTTGTAGCAACAAGAAATCTATGCACACTAAATGCGATCCATGGATAAAATATGTGTGGAACAGCAACTCTGTGCAGCCATTTTTAAATAAATTTCAGGATGTCTTTCACTCTGATTATGATCAGTTATATAGACAATCAGAAGAAAATGTAATGAACTGTGTCTCAATATTAATAAACATGTATCAGACTGCTGCCTGTGACTTGAGGAAAATTCATAAACCTAAACAATCTTTAATTAACCCAGCTGGAGACTTGCAACCACCGTGGTGGAACAAAGACTTAGAGTGTGCTAAAGGAAGAAAATATGCAGCACTGAGGCTGCATAGAACTTTGGGAAATAGTTTTGATATTTATAAACAGCCATTGGTACGTAAAGAGTTTAAATCTCTCTACAGAAGGAATAGACAAGAATACTTTAATCAACAAAAAATGTTACTGGTTAATTCTAGAAAAAAACCAACTCACTATGTACAAACATTAGTCAGGATGATTGGTGTGACCACTTTGAGCACCTGCTCTTCATGCAAACTGCTACTCTTGATTATTCAACATTATATTTTGTTGACCAAAATACAGAAGTGGTCTCTGACAGTTGTATAAACAGACCCTTCTCAGAGGAGGAAGTACTCTTGGGGCTAAAGCATCTTCAACTCAATAAGTCACCCTGACCAGATGGCTTGCAAAGTGAATTACTTAAAGCAACTAAAAATTACTTAGAATATTCAACTCTTTGTTGAACAATGGAACATTCCCCAAACAGTGGGGCACTAGTATAATCTGTCCCATTCACAAATCTAACAGTATCCATGTGACGGATAACTATAGAGGAATATCTCTTATTGACTCATTCTGTAAAGTGCTTTGTGCTATTCTTAAAAGTAGACTTCAACGCTGGTGTGATATAAACTCTGTCTTGTCTGAAACCCAGGCCGGTTTTCTGCCAAACTACTCAACGGTGGACCAGATATTCTGTTTACAAGCGATGATACAAAACTATTTATCAAAACAGGGTGGTAGAGTGTACTGTATATTTGTAGACTTTAAAAAAAGCCTTTGATAGTGTTGACCATGAAGTATTACTTAAAAGTCTAATCAACATGGGAATCAAAGGGACATTTCTTAATTTAATTGTCTCTATGTATTCAACTCTATCTGCTTGTGTTAGGACAGATCAGGGCCTATCCAGACATTTCAAGTGTAATATCGGTACCCGTCAGGGCTGTATTTTGAGTCCGTTGCTTTTTGTAATCTATATAAATCGTTATCTCAAATGTTTGATTGCAATGGTGGTAATGGTATCTTTATTACAAATGAATTCCCCAGTGTTGCAGCCCTCCTGTTTGCAGATGATGTGTCGTGTTTATCTGACACAGCTGTACAGTTGCAGAGAAAGATAAATGTGCTTGAGCAATTTTGTAATGATACAGGCATGAGTATAAATTTGAGTAAAACAAAAATTATGTTTTTTTGTAAACGTGGTCCTCTACGCCACTATGAGAAATGGTTTTTTAAGGGCAGGATAAATAGAAGTAGTAAATGTATATAGATACTTAGGTGTTGTGTTTACACCATCTCTCTCATGGACAAAGGCTCAGTGCTGTCTTTCTGCTCAAGCACAAAAGCTTGTATGTCTTTGTATAACTATCAAAATAAATTTGGAGCAATTTCAAGTTTAGATATATTCAAAATTTTTGATGCAGCTATTTGTCCTATCCTTTCTTATGGAGCAGAGTTCTGGGGCACATCATACTGTAGACAGATAGAAAGTTTGCAACTATACTTCTGTAAAAGGTTTTGAAAGTTAGTAAATATACCAGCAATGTTATAGTGCTGGGTGAATGTGGGAGAGTTCCCCTACAATATCAGTACATGTCTAGTTGTGTCAAATATTGGTGTAGATTGCTTCAGTTAAATACTCACAGGTTGCCATATCAGTGTTATCAAATGCTTATGTTATTGGATAAAGCTGGTAGAAATACTTGGGCCACATCTGTTAAAAACATTCTGTATCAGTTTGGTTTTGGTATTGTATGGTTATCCCAACATGTAGGTAATGTAAATATATTTATGTTTACTTTCAAACAAAGGTTGTATGACAGTCTATGTCAAGACTGGCATTCTTTAATATCCAATTCATCAAAGTGTAATGTGTATAGTAAATTAAAGTCATTGCTGAATGTAGAAAGATAATTTGAGCGTAGATATCCAATATTCTTACAAGCATGTCATTTCCCAAATTAGGTGTAATAATTTCCGTTTAGCGGTTGAGTTAGGTAGGCACAAAAACATCAATTATGCTGACAGGATTTGTGCTTATTGTTGTACTAAAGGCTTACATTGAGTGGAGGATGAATTTCATGTTCTCTTTAATATGTGAGAGATATGAAGATATTAGACAAGAATGCCTTCCTTCATGCATACACTTGCTAATCGCAGTTTTGATACCTTTATTGGGATAATCTCTTGTAACAACACACACTCTTTATCTTGTCTTGGACGTTTCCTCCGTCATATAAAGAAAGTAAGAAACATTGACCTGATATTACAATCTGTAACTCATTATAGTGACAGTATTAATACCATGTACAATATGATACTACTACTTTCAGGAATTTGCATTTCTGTATCAGTATCTTAGTACATGAGAGATATGAAGATATTAGACATATACACTTTTAAATTTTAGAATGCTAACTCCTCTTGTAATAACATAAACACATTAACTTGCCCTCATACGTTTCTTCTGTCATAGAAAGAAAGCAACAAAGTAAATCTGATATTAAAATGTTTTGTTTATTTTATTCACAGTACCAATAGTTAAGCATTTACAACACGATGTTACCTCTTTGCCTGTAATCACTTGTATCAATATGTTGGACATATGAGAGACACATGTATATGTTTTTGCATAAGAATGCCTTCTTCATTTTAACACCTGTTACTTAGTCTTGATAATTTTGTCAGGCTAATCCATATTAACCATTGTCTTGAGATTTATTTCTTCGTGCTAAGTTTTTATACACACATAAATACATTAAATTGCCTTGTATGCTTCCCTCAGCCTTATAAAGAGAGTAATAAGTAAATCTGATATTAAAAGGTGTAATCTAACATAATGCATTCCAACATAATCATAATACATTAATTTCTTGACGTCTCCCTTTGTCACATAAAGTAAGTAAAAGGAAATCTGATACATCACAATGTTTCATCCATTATATACATGGTATCTACTACACTCAAGCTACGTATAATGCGATGTACCAATGTGTCTGCATTTTGTATTATGGGCCTTTGGCCTAGAACTACAGAAATAAATCTGTCTGTCTGTCTGTCTGTTGAAAGTGTTTTATGTTCCAGTTGGAAAAATGGCTGTGGTGGCTCCATTTCATTTATATTAAAAGCTGGAGAATTCTGTTCCAATTCTTGCTGCTTTTAATGTTGAATCTTTCAGTTCAGTGGGTGATTGTGATGGGCGGTGTTGTTGTTGGTTACTGTCGTTTAGTGAGTTAAGGTTGTGCGTTAAAATAGTCGGTAAGGCGGTGCCATTTATATTCCAGTATCTTGCGCCCCAGCCAGTGGTGGTGCGTAATAAAGTCTCCATGTGATAATGGTTTAGACTTATAAATTTTGCTGTGAATGTCCAAATCTTGGGTGGTAATTTTGAATTTAGTCTCTATAAACATTACCGATGGTTTAGTCTTCTTTGTTATTCAAGAAGCTGATATTGCCAGGACTTCGAGATCTGTACAAGTGAATTCTGCACATGTTATAGTTTAATTCTATCTTCGTAATGAAAATCCTCAGTCCCCCCGTCAGGGGCTGATACAGTTAGTTGGTCGGTCTGTCTTTCGAATAAAATTGTAGCCTGGTAATTTGAGGGCATTTTGGGGGATAATATTGTTTCTTGCAGAGCTATAATGTGGGTGAAATTTTGTTATGGGCAATCAGTGCCTTGAGATGTTGTTAAAGAGTGTTGTGAGATGAATTGAAGCTTGTTATGGGAGGTGTGTGCTGGATGTTATTTAGGTGTTGTGGAGTGTAGCTTGTTATGGGAGGTGTGTGCTGGATATTTGTTAAGGTGTTGTGAAGTGTAGCTTGTTATGGGAGGTGTGTGCTGGATGTTGTTAAGGTGTTGTTGTGAGTGTAGCTTGTTATGGGAGGTGTGTGCTGGATGTTGTTAAGGTGTTGTGAGTGTAGCTTATTATGGGAGTGTGTGCTGGATGTTGTTAAGGTGTTGTGAGTGTAGCTTGTTATGGGAGGTGTGTGCTGGATGTTGTTAAGGTGTTGTGAGTGTAGCTTGTTATGGGAGTGTGTGTGCTGGATGTTGTTAAGGTGTTGTGAGTGTAGCTTGTTATGGGAGGTGTGTGCTGGATGTTGTTAAAAGGTGTTGTGAGTGTAGCTTGTTATGGGAAGTGTGTGCTGGATATTTGTTTAAGGTGTTGTGAGAGTGTAGCTTGTTATAGGAGGTGTGTGCTGGATGTTGTTAAGGTGTTGTAGAGTGTAGCTTGTTATGGGGAGGTGTGTGCTGGATGTTGTTAAGGTGTTGTGAATGTAGCTTGTTATAGGAGGTGTGTGCTGGATGTTGTTAAGGTGTTGTGAAGTGTAGCTTGTTTATGGGAGAGTGTGTGCTGGATGTTGTTAAGGTGTTGTGAAGTGTAGCTTGTTATGGGAGGTGTGTACTGGGTTAAGTGTGTGTGGATGCTTGTTATAAGTGTGTGCTGAGATGTTGTTAAAAAATTATTTATGAAGTGTAAGTTATGGAGGTGTGTGCTGGATGTTGTTAAGGTGTTGTGAGTGCTTAGCTTATAGGAGGAGTGTGTACTGGATGCTTGTTAAGGTGTTGTGAGTGTAGCTTGTTATAGGAGGTGTGTGCTGGATATTTGTTAAGGTGTTGTGAAGTGCTTAGCATTATGGGAGGTGTGTGCTGGATGTTATTAAAAGTGTTGTGATGCTGTAGCTTGTTATAGGAGGTGTGTGCTGGATATTTGTTAAAAGAGTGTTGTGAAGTGTAGCTTGTTATAGGAGAGTGTGTGCTGGATATTTGTTAGAGTGTTGTGAATGTAGCTTGTTATAGGAAGTGTGTGCTGGATGTTGTTAAAGTGTTGTGAAGTGCTGTAGCTTGTTATAGGGGAAGTGTGTGCTGGATGTTGTTAAGAGTGTTGTAAGTGTAGCTTGTTATAGGAGGTGTGTGCTGGATGTTATTTAAGGTGTTGTGATGTAGCTTGTTATAGGAGGTGTGTGCTGGATGTTGTTAAGAGTGTTGTGAAGTGTAGCTTGTTATGGGAGGTGTGTGCTGGATGTTGTTAAGGTGTTGTGAGTGTAGCTTGTTATAGGAGGTGTGTGCTGGATGTTGTTAAGGTGTTGTAGATAAACTTGTTACGGGAGGTGTGTGCCTGGATGTTGTTAAGGTGTTGTGGAGTGTAGTAGATTCTTCACGTAGTTGTTGTAGAGTGTAGCCGATTATTCAGGTGCTGTGGAATGTAGCAGATTGTTAAGATGTGTGATTTGTAGCTTGTTATGGGAGGTGTGCACTGGATGTTGTTAAGTGTGTTGTGAAGTGTAGCATGTTATGGGAGGTGTTTGCTGGATGTTGTTAAGGTGTTGTGAGTGTAGCTTGTTATGGGAGGTGTGTGCTGGATGTTGTTAAGGTGTTGTGAGTGTAGCAGACTGTTGTGGTGAGTGAGTATGGTTGTGCTTTGTTTGTTTTTGAATTTTTTGATGGTGGAGTTTTTAGTGGTGGTATATTTAGTTGAGATAAGTTTGTATATTGGTTTGTGTTGGACCCTAGCCCAGAAATTGAGTGCAGTTTGATTTATTCGTGTTAGGATTAGGGATGCCTGTAAGAGTAGGAGAGAAGAGAGTGTTGTGGGAGGTGCTAGTCCTAGTGCCTAGGGCTAGCTTAAAGGGCTTTCTCTTGAATGAATTTAGTTTTTGTAAATTAGATGGGAGAAGTGGAGGACCAGGAACGGCGTAGTCAATCCCGACTGTATAAGGAGTTTGTATATGTTTATAAGTGTTTGTTTGTCTTTTAATTGAGTACCACTGATGGCTCTCATGCCCCAAGATTTAGATCTTTTGACAGGAGTTGACCAAATTAATATATGGGGGTGTCCATGTCATGTGTTAGGTCAAAAGTTACCCCTAGAATTTTGCCTCTTTTCGAACTTGATTTCTGGTTATTAAGGTGTAGTTTGGGTGTATAATTCTGCATTCTTTGATTTTTGAATAATATGCCCACGGTTTTTTTGACATTAATATGGAACCCCCATTTTTGGGCCCAGACATGATTTAGCATTCTTTGAGTTTTGATTGTGGCTTGGTTTCCTGAAGTGGATGAAATCCCAAAAGAAATGTCATCAGCGAATTTAGCAGTAGAAATTTCTGGCCACTTGTCCGGGAAAATGTCGTTTATCATAAAGTTGAATAATGTTAGATATTATGCTCCCCTGTGGGGTTCCATTTTCTAGTGGAAAAGGGTCCGAGATGGTGTTGTGAGATTTGACGATTATTTGTCTATTATTAAGGAATGCATGAATGAAATTTAGAATGCGCCCGTGTATGGCATTTTTCGGTAGTTTTTGGATGAGGCAGTTGTGCCAAACCATGTCGAAAGCTTTGCTAAAGTCAATAAAAATGGCCAGTGTGTATTGTTTTTGTGCTTGTGCTACCTTTATATCATGTTCCAAATGTAAGATATAGTCTAATGTTTGTCAGTTTGGAGTGAAGCCACTCTGGTCCTGTTTGATTAAGTTATGGGTAAGAATTTGGTGCTTTAGTCTATTATTTACTATAGACTCAAGTGATTTACATTAGTGTGAGGTGAGTGAAATAGGCCGAAATGAATCTGGGGAGTTGATGGGTTTCTCTGGCTTTAGGATTGGCACCACCTTAGCTGTTTTCCCAGAAGATAGTATGTTTCCTGTGGTCCAGATCTGGTTAAATAGTGTGAGTGTTAAGTTTAGCATGTTTGGTGGAAGTTTGTTGAGTATGGTGTATGTGATGTTGTCTGGACAAGGGGCTGAGGCTGTTTTTTTATGTTGGAGGGCTGCCTTAAGTTCATGAATATTTATGTTTTTGTTTATGGGTAGGTGTGTATGGGGTGGTTCTGGTGAGTAGGGTGGATGGTTTTTGATGATGTTTTGGAAATGTGCTGGGTAGTTGGTGGAGCTGCAAGTTTCCAAAACTTGGGCAGCAACAGTGTTAGCTTTTTCTTTGTTTATGGGGAGGTTCGGAAGGTTTGGTTGTATAATTGTTTTGGAATTTCCCTGTATAGCTTTAATTTTTTGTCCACTCCCGAGTGACCATGTCAGTCAGGTTTTATACATGGGGCAATTACGCCACGTTGTGCAAGGTCACTGACCCATGCACATGTACATACGTAAGATCTGCCGACGTAGGGAGGTGTTAATTGACATCGATTGATAGCATTGAGAATTAAGGGTCCTGCCCGGAAGGGGGTCTATGATAAGAGGGGCTACACCGAATGTTTGCTGAATACAATAAACAGGCAAAGAGGATAGAATTTTGGTGCACTTTGGATATATATTGAAACAGTTATGTTGTTTGAATATAATGAAGTTTTACAAAACTTACTGAAATGGTTTATTCTATGACAGTAAGATCGGGACCGGCTACGATCGGTTAGTGGAACGGGTGTAACCTTTAGCTAAGACGATTGTAAAAACTTGCTAAGATTGATCTTAGGTAAGATCGGTTAGTGGAATGGCACCCAGTGCTATTGTTTGACCAACGCCCCGCAATTCCATGTATAAACAGACTATATGTATGTTTGCCTTGTTAAAACACATACAGAAAAACTGTTTTCCTGCAACTTGCGTGTGCATGGTGTCGCAATGAACGTGGCCTTTTCTTGGCAAGAACAGTTAGCTAGTCACTCAGGCACATGGTGTTTATCTGTATGGATCGCTTGTTGTTAAAGAGGACATTATACGTAATGCAATATTTCCAGACATATGCTGTAGCTATCTTTGTCAGAGTGACTATAGAGAAAAAACTAAGTTCTATCTTCCGTTGTTTGGCCTTTATCGCCGAACCACACAGTAGCTATAGATTCTCAGTTTGATGAAACCCAGTTTAATGAGACCGTGCTGGATGATTCAACTAATGGTGGTCTCTGACAGTCGGGAACTGTCGTTTAAAAGAAAGCTATAATTTTATCTTTAGTTTGTCAGCATTATTTAACTTTTATAAAAGCAGAAGGTAAATAATACTACCCGACAAACCAATGGTCAATATTGGGAGTAACGTTTCATGCCCAGGACCACGTGATACACACACCGCCTCTTACGACAGGCCTGACTGATTCTTACCCTGAACCCCTCTCACTGAGTTTTACTCTGCGCAACTTATACAGTCACCGATCTAAACCTGAAACATCACGGGGATGTATAAATACCTATTGTTTAATTATGATAATTCTACTCCGACCCACGTGGTAAGGTGGACCACCCTTGTACGTATACTAACTCAGAGATTAGTGACATGTATCCAACATGCATGCACGTGCCACGTTCCGTGACGTCAGTGGGTTCGTCCTTGAGACGCAATACGTTGTTGCACGTGCATTCCGAGAAAGAGCAACAAAGCAAATGAATGCCACACAATACTGTCACTTTGGAAAGCTCAACTCCTACCCTTGCGATCGTTCAAAAAATTAATTGGCTATTGAAACGCATAGCATGCCAAGGCTCACGTCTGCACAACGTCATGAGGCCATTGGGATGGTCCATGAGGAAATGTCTCAACGACAAGTCGCTGCACATTTCCACTGCCACCGGAACACCATGTCAGCACTGGTGAGATGCTACCAGAACACAAATGACGTCATCGATCGGCCATTTTCTGGACGTCCACGTGTAACAACGCCACGGGATCAGACAACGACGTCCCGCCATACGGTCTATCCTGACACAATGTCATCGACAAGCTCGCCGAATGGGGTGCCGAAATCATGTCCGCAGACCCTTGTTTTGGTGGAAAATTGTTGTTTTCACAGACGAGTCCAGGTTTTACATTTCCCATAGTGATGGATGTCAACGTGCCTATAGACACGTGGGAGAACGTTATGCACAGACCTGTGTCTTGGCGAGGGAATCGGTTTGGTGATGGTTCCGTGATGATTTGGGGTTGAATAACAGCACACCAAAGAACTCCTTTCGTGATTGTTCAGGGCACCTTAACTGGTGGAACCAGTTGGAATGGGGGAACATTCCTCAGTTATCTCCCGTTACCCCTTCGCCAATAGATGGCTAGAGAGATAGATCACTGCCACAGGCTAATTTGCATATCACGTGACCGGACTTTTCTCTTGTTTGTAATCAAACGCGCATATTCATTATAAGAAGAGACTGGACTCACGAAAGCTTTTCGGCATTCTCTTCATATTGTTTTACATTGTTACATATATATTCTTCCACAACTGCGACAGTAAGGTCTATGACAGTACATATTTAGATATCAAACTGGCTGCATCGTTTGCTCTCCATCAGCTCCGATGACAGCACGTGGAGCCGTACAACCTACGTAAACAAAGGATCGCTACGCAAATCGAAATAGTGTTACATGTTTTTGGATATTTTCTCAGTGAAACTTAACCATTCTATTAAAGATGTTTAGTTAGATGTGTAGACTCGTCAAAATAAAAGAGTAAAATAAATCTGTACATTATATTGAACGGACGGTGCAGATGTGACGAATCGTCACATTTTTCTAGCCTGTGGCAGAGATACTATGCTGGCTTGCCGCATGGAACTCTAGGTAGGTACTTCCGGTATAATGATGGTGTTCAAGTTTGTTGAACGGTCGATATCAAATGCGCAGCAATTACGATGCCTTAGACGTACTGATGTTGCCTCGTGAAGCTGCAATAGAGGTGGTTCGACGTGTCCGAGAGGTCATAACTTGCTGAAATGATGGTTGACTGTCGTTCGAAGTAGCGACGAATCAAAGCAAGATGAGGTAGTGGTCATCTCTCCCGGGTCTCACTTTCAGTATTGTGGGCCATTTCCACTTCTGACAAAGCGATTTCATTACTGTGATCGATTATGGTAATAGTTACATTTTGTAACTTTTTAAGTTTGAAGCAAACGTTTGTTTGACTCTTATTCTACTTGCCAAATCTAGTTAACACGCATGACAACGGAAATTACGAGCAGGATTTTGAATCGATTCAGGGAAAAAGAAGATATCGCTCTAAGAGGGACACACACTGTACAAAACGTTTCACACGAAACATTAGAGACCTCCCACTGTTGTAATCATCAAAACTTACAGTACACAATCTTTTCGCTTTACAAAGGGTGCACCCCTAGGCGTCATCATCAGTAAAATCATTAGAATGACACTGTTTATTTTCTTGTTCTGTAGTTCTGTAGTAGTTAGGCTTTATTCATTGGTAACATTGATTCTTAATTTTCCACCGTACTTGAACACAGTTATTGGATTCTAATTTCAGGTTGATCTATTACATTTATTTTCAACTATATTTCAGTTGGTCATTTTAGCAAATCATACATCACTTGATATGGCTCATGTTGATTCTACCTGCTTGTCTTCTCTCATACAGCACATCAATATGACAGCACCTGGTCATGTCTCTCATCTCATACAGCACATCAACATGACAGCACCTGGTCATGTCTTCTCTCATACAGCACATCAACATGACAGCACCTGGTGGCAGCACCTGGTCTTCTCTCATACAGCACATCAATATGACAGCACCTGGTCATGTCTTCTCTCATACAGCACATCAACATGACAGCACCTGGTCATGTCTCTCTCTCATACACCTGGCACATCAACATGACAGCACCTGGTCACCTGGTCTTCTTCTCTCATACAGCACATCAATATGACAGCACCTGGTCATGTCTTCTCTCATACAGCACATCAATATGACAGCACCTGGTCATGTCTTCTCTCATACAGCACATCAACATGACAGCACCTGGTCATGTCTTCTCTCTCATACAGTCACATCAACATGACAGCACCTGGTCATGTCATGTCTTCTCCTCATGTCTTCTCTCATACAGCACATCAACATGACAGCACCTGGTCATGTCTTCTCTCATACAGCACATCAACATGACAGCACCTGGTCATGTCTTCTCTCTCTCATACAGCACCTGGTCATGTCTTCTCTCATACAGCACATCAATATGACAGCACCTGGTCATGTCTTCTCTCATATAGCACATCAACACGACAGTACCTGGTCATGTCTTCTCTCATACAGCACATCAATATGACAGCACCTGGTCATGCATCTAAAATACAGTGTGAGTTACACTGAGTAATGTACTTGTATGGAGTATGTTCACACATGTTTATATCTCCAGATGACAGGTAGGTAGAGTAGGCGAGTAAATTGGAACAGACCTCAATTTATAATGTTCAATATTCTAAGGTGATTCACACTTAACAAGTAAATTTTCATGTGAACCTGTGGGTTAACTTTCATTTGCTTCTTGCTTTTAAACAGCAAGCTACCATCATCAAAGTTGTTTATGTTTGACTATGACACCTTTGCTCCCTTCATTGTTGACTTAAAGTTTACCAAGAATGCTACTACACAAATGACGTTTCCCCTTTAATGCATCTCCCTACAGGTGCCTGCTGTCCACAAAGATGAGGCCCAGGTGAATCCAGAATACACATGATACAGGTTAATGTGGGTTTCCTTTTGGTATGAATTTGTCTGAATAATGTCTGGTGTACTTGTTGAAGACACTTCTTTGTATCAGACATTTCTTCCTATAGAAAACAAATTGTCAGCATATTTAAATTATGCTTCTCCATAGGTTAAACATTTTTTAAGTAAAATGTTTTCCACCTTTGACTTATCCCAAGAAATATGCTCCTTATATGACATGTCTTTCTCCACAACAGTAACTTAAATCTCATAATGATACATTATCTCATAACTGGCAGTCATAAGGAAATATTACCCTGTATCAGTTTTGATAGTAATCCTCCACTGATGTTTTCCAGGATGAACATGTCTGAGGCAACAGAGAAAATCAGATGCTGTATGACCAATTGTTTCCCTGGACTGTATCAGCTGACCCACTTAATGCTGGTGGATACTTGTGATGTTGAATGTAATATCAGTGAGGTCGTTGGGGAGGAAACAGTCACAATGATTTTGATGACATGAATATTTAGGCAAACATTTTCTGTCCAGACTGGGCAGAGGACAAATATGAAAGTACCTGTATATCCACAAAAAGGGACAAACATGCTGTGCTTCCAGTACAAACTTATTATGTTGAGTGCTCCAGCAATTGTGATTTCCACAGGACTGTTGTTCTTCTATTGTGAGTCCATATGCATGTCACCTAAATTATCTGTACTGCAATAGGACTGTTGTTCTTCTATTGTGAGTCCATATGCATGTCACCTAAATTATCTGTACAGCAATAGGACTGTTGTTCTTCTATTGTGAGTCCATATGCATGTCACCTAAATTATCTGTACTGCAATAGGATTGTTGTTCTACTATTTTGAGTCCATATGCATGTCACCTAAATTATCTGTACAGCAATATTGGCAGTATGATTGTCAGTGTGGAAAACATCAACATGCATCTGGTGTAAGTGTTAATCACATTTATGAATGTCCATACATGCAGCTGCAGAATATAATATGTTCAACAATAAAAACTGAAATGACAACCCAGAATTTGTTAAATTTGGGCTTATGCTTATTGACCCATGAAAGTAATCCACACATGAAAAAAATATTATAGAATCTCAATTGTACCATTTAGACTAACATTCAGAAGCTACATTATTCCTTGTTTCAATATTTCAAACGCACACTTTGTTCACTGACACTGTGAGCCCTTTATGATTGTGATGAGCCGTGATATAGTTTACAAACCCTTCACACATGCTGGAATAACAAACATGAAAAACTTGTATTCAAATCTAAAAGGCTCCCATCTTAAAGGAGGATGAACCTCATACCCTTTGATTCTGGCATGAGATAGTTCAGACCTCCAGTACTGGTTGAATGTTTTTATATATTTCAGTATTTAACTCATGGCTAGTTACAGTATTTGACAACACCTGAAACACAATTCCAAATAATATGCTTGTGTTTTCAAAATGCAATCTATCATTTAGGTACTGGTTGTTTGTTTTGAGAAAAGGCAGCAGTGTGTGTGTGTGTGTGTGTGTGTGTGTGTGTGTGTGTGAGTGAGTGAGTGACATGATTTTAAAGGGGGGTCACCAATTTTGTACACATGTACTGAAGAGAGGTGGGGGGTGGTTATGTGTGTGTATCGGCAGAATTGTACGTAATAAAGATAAGTTATGCTTAAAAATTATGGGGTGAGTTTAACTGATTTTGTAGATGACATATGGAAAGGGGGGGGTTGTCACTTACTTTGTACATACTTTGTGGGCAGGTAATTCACATTGTACATGCATCTCCAAAAAAATCATCAACAACCCTCACCCCAGTAATTGTGAACGGTATCTAAATATGTAAAAATTATAAACCGGAAGTTGTGTGCTTATTTATCGTGTGAATGGGTGGAGGTATTTTGTTGAACGCACTATCAACGAGTCGTTACTTCGATAAAAGTTACTTATGTTTCAAATCCTCTCGAAAACGATCCGTTGCCATAGCATCCCCGAGGCGTTTTCACTGATGAAAATTGGTTGTTTACGTGAACGAAAACTGAAGCACTCATGTTGTGCACGTAATCAGGTCAGTGCTAACGTTATTTGTTTAACGCTAATTTCAGTGTACACTAAACCTAGGTTCTTACAACTATTACGACGCCATTAATGTTCTGTGACATAATGAGTAGTATATACAATGGGGGTTCTGGATCACTTTCATCAAAAGCCTCTGCAAAGCCTTATTTACCAAATAAGGCTTTTGTCGGGCCCTTAGCTCTTGCTACCATTTCCCCTACTATGAAAAAGTTTGGGTCGATAGCGGTTCTGGATCACTTTCAACCTAAGCCTCTGCAAAGCCTTATTTCACAAGTAAGGCTTTGGTCGGACCCTTAGCTCTTGCTACCATTACCCCTACTACAAAAGTTGGGGGACCTCCTAGCCGCGCTACCGGGGGCATGGCTGGAGTAACGGGTATTGCCCCATCCAATACTGGGCTGGCCGCTATGTCACTATGCCATGTTTACCTCGATGAAACAGTTTAATGTGAATCGCCTATGATCTCCTTGGTGTTTGTAATAAAGGCTTGCCGGGCTTTTTTTCACCCCTTGTTCTATGTACTTTTTTTTCTCGTCCTCGCTGATAGTAGACTTACGAGACTTGGACCGAATATCTTGTTTCATTTTGTTATATTTTGTGAGTTCAGAGAGGATTGAACTAAACTCCTCCTCTGAGATCTTACTGTCAGTAAGTGCCGTGGAAATACGCTCACTTACTGTGTTAAGCTTTGCTTCAGCCAGAACCCTGATCTCATCGTGTTTCAATGCCTTACGATGCAGTCTGCGGGATGCAAACTTAAGCACCAACCCTAACACCCCTGCCACCCCAGCTGTTATTTCGATACCTAGCACTACGGGGGGTAGCCACGATGGTAGCTAACAACCCAACACCTGCCGCTCCTAGCCCCATGCTGGTTGCCATAAGGGCAGTGTCAGCCCCGTCCACGATATTGAAAGCTCTATGGTACTTTTTACATAGTGCTTTCCGCGTGTCGCGGTCTTGCTCTAGTTGGCGTTTTACATCACATAACTGTCTCAAGCGGAACCCGTCTACGGTTTCCAGGGTCTTCGCTACTTCCTCTATGACTGGGTACAGCCCCATCTTATAATATATATTACAAAAGATATTTTAATTGAGTATCAGTTAACCTTCGGCTAATGTACTTAAAGCTGATATAACTTAGATTAATGTGCACGTAAAAAAACGGGGTCTTAACTCTACTTCCATTAAGGAGACGAACTCCATCAAGGCTTGCTACAGGTCTGTTTCCTGATACCTTAGTAATACGGCAACGTTTGTTATTACACCTGGCTTCCCAGTTTATGACCATATCAGCCATAATGTAAATATACGGGTCCCCAGGCGGCGGGTTATCTCCGAGATAGACGTCTATGATGAATGTGTAGTTTTCCGCGACATTTCTAAAGACCTCTTGGTGATCAAGTAATTTGATCTCTGTCTTTACCTTCTCCCTGGAAGTTAACATGTTACCCGAGTGGTCTGGTATTGGTGCGATATATATATTACCTTCTGGATATAGCACTCCATGTACAAGTAGGCCTTTGGGTTCCGGAACGAACGATCCTATAATTATGCCATTGTTCTTAAGCTCGGAGACAGTACCATCTTGTCTCAAGGTGATATAAGGTGCAGTGAGGGTTAAGTTGAGTAACCATTCAGGCTCTTTAAAATCTGATAACGACACCCGCCTATACACGTTGTCTTTGAAGTGTAGGATGTATAAGGTGTCTTCCTCACCAGGCTGGTCGAATCCCTCTAGGCCTCCGAGTGTGAGTTTGGGTAGATGATCGGCCATTGCTGCCCGCCTATACACGTTGTCTTTCAAGTGTAGGATGTATGAGCCACCTTCCTCACCAGGCTGATCGAATCCCTCCGTGTCCCCTAGGTCGTTAAGCGTAGTGTTGGGACAATGACTGGTCATTGCTATAATACTATTACGATATAATTTCCAACTGGTTTTCTGATAATAGGTCAGGGGTTAACTTTACCCCCATGAAGTGTATGTTGTCAGGTAGGAAGATCTTGGTTAGTGATATAGTGTTTTCCACGATCACGGTGACACCCTGCAGACTGGTGTTGGAGCCGACACCCACCCGCGCGTAAACTGTGCAAGCGTGATACTGGTGTCGTTTCACCCACCCAAGTTTGATCCCTTCACGATCTCGACATCATTCCCGATGGTTCCCCTAGGTAGACTTTGATGATCAGTGTTGAGTTCGCCGGTAGACTCTCTAGTATCCTGACCACGCCTTCAAATTCAGACACCAACTGCAATGTCACGTTTTGCATGCCCGCTTTACTCGATAGCATGTGGGCTGCCATACTGGCGACTGGGCTGATGACTCACGCTTCGTCTCTGAGTCGGGACGTAAGCCACGAAAGCAGGGTTCCGTTGTTAACGACTTTGTTTAGGTGGTTGTCTTTGTTATCCGTGAACACGTAGGGGAGCCGAGCCTAATATTGAGAAACCAGTCGTCTTTATCTGGTATCAACACCCACTTGTCATCTTCGGTGAAGACGAGCATATATGGCTTGTTTCGGGCGACTGTAGTGCTCTCAACATCGTCTAAGTCGAACAGTTTGCCCCGAACGATGGGTATATTATCCAATTATCATTACCGGTGGTGACTAGGGTGTACTTAGTGTTGACTACCGCTCTTGAGGTATCTACTATATCACCTAGGGCTCCACCGGAGGGACTTCAACGCGTTTGTAAATGTTGTTTTTCAGTTGCAAAGTACAATTTACCATCTACTCGGAGCGTCGAAACCGCGTGTGTCCCCGAGGTCGGAGATCCCCACATTGACGCATTTTTCACCCGGGCCCTTGTGCGCTGGTCATTTTATGTGAAGCGTTAAGCTGAGGTATCCTATATTCACGGGATTATGATTTATATCTAACACCGATATTATCAGCTCAGGTATGTTGCCCTGAGTCAACCTCTTATACTGCCGCGGTGAAAACGACTCGGTTCTACCGTCGTTGTATTTCTCCGTTTTCACCGCACGGCTCTCAGTATAGTGGAAGGGTGACCCCTTGAATGTTGTACGTTGTGCTCACCTGACCTAGATGAATGTACAGCTCTCGGTACGGTACTAGGTCGGGTAACCGATGCCTGTGGACGGTTGTTGTTGGTTTTATCTCGTCAGGTGATATACCGAGTGTCTTCGCCAATGGCCGGCCGAGCCTCAAGGAGTTTCTTCCGTTGTTGATTAACACCACTGTGCCGTTTGAGTCGTTCATCTTGAGTTCGGCTCCCAGGGTTTGAAGACCTCATCGCTAGCTTAGCGCACACGCTGTAGTAGCCGTCAGTTATCTGGCTGCGAGTTCCACTAACGAACAGCTTATTGTTGCTGGCGTTGATGTTAGTCCATTGCGGTAGGTAGGTGATATCGCAGAGTGCGACTTCGAGTTGACCGGACGTATTATCGATCGCGTGCGTCAGCTGAATGGCCTCACCGTTCGTTATTCCTGGAAGTGTTATGTACATGTTAGAGTATATATGCTCATTATATAATAGTTTTAAAATGTATTCCCCTGGTGTGTTTTACCCTAAACTGGACATAGATTTCTCACCCATGAAGATCGCGGTTGCTGATGGGATGTATTTCAACGCCCAGCTTTTAGATGTGTTCAGCCTGTATAAATTTTCGGTGACTAACGCTAAGGTAGTTCATGCTTGGTTCAACAACCCGATGCAGTTCTGGCAGAATCAACTCAACTTCGCCGTGTGGTGCGCTACAACGGGGTGTGGTGTGACATTGACCGACACTCGGCGGGGACCGCTGAGTCAGTCTGTGTTCAAGTTCCACGTGTACTACCAGGTCAGGCGTATCCTTAAAGAAATCAGCGTCCCGCTCCCACAGGACAATGCATGGAACCCATTAAACAACAAGTACGATAGGCGAGCCTACGAACGTATTTGCAACGAATTCGAACTTAACCCGAAGGCGGATTGGCGTTTG